GTTATAAGCTTGTCTAGTAACATAGATTTTTAAATTTTGAGCCCTCATTATGTGTTCCAAATATGTAATAATGTAATTGTGTTTTTCACATTAAATATGACATTTCTCAGAGAATAATATATTACATCCTATATTTAGATAATCATAGAACATCCCTGCCTGCTGTATATTGGAGTTGTCAATGTCACAAAAAGGCTCATTCCCCTTCATTTACCTCTAACTAAAAATCTGTCATTGGTTACCCTGATATCTTTCTAAAGAACAGATATTGTGACAGTAGACAGACATATTATTACTAAAGAATGTATAATTGTAATTCTATGGAATTAGAATTAATGGACTTAAAATGGTATATTTTTTTTAATCACATCCAGATGGCTGTGAATGCATTTAATTAGTAAGTCAGGAGACTTGTGAATCTGTTGAGTCATGATGTGAGGGGAAGCGTGTGGGTGTGCATATTGCAGCTTATCACCCTGAAGATAATCCCACTGTAAAGGAAGTGTTATTGGAGAGAATTCCAATACTTTTTGGCTTGCGATTGATTGATTTATTTTATTGTTTTTGCCATTAATTAGATACTTATATTTAAGGCTATGTTTGAAAGTAATATTTTTGAATGCATGATATATGTTCAATCATGCTACTACGTGGAGAAGTAGGAAATGTATATGCAAAAATAAGATACGTTAAATGAGAAGTCGACCTCAGCTTTTAATTCGCAGAATAACGATGCTGTGTAGTTGTGTGTCTAACCAATATGGAATTGACACTACAGCCACAGAAGTGAAAACATTGACTGTCAGAAAACAAGCTCTGGTGTCTTCAACTAAAACAGAAGAATGTATGCATCTATTATTGGAATAATGTCTAATGTGGATTATTTTCTCTGGACCGGTCCTTACTCTTATGCATTATCATTAATGACTTATTCAGTAGACCTAACATTAGTTAGCACACATTGCAAATGGGACAAACAAGAATTAATTTTGTTATTTTTCAACTATGGGATCTTAAAAACAAAAACAAAAACCCCAAGACTATGAGTTGTCAGTATACTTCCTTGGATAGACTACCTTAACTGATAATATTCACGAATATAAGCATCATATTCAATTGTGTTACAGATGGCATGGCAGGACATTTTATGAGCAGAACAGAAAAGCCTGTGGTAGGAATAAACCTTAGTGAGTAATTGTTTTTTATTGATTGATTTTTTTTGAGTTAAAACTCCCAAACGGAGTTTACAAAAAGATGTAAGAAAGACTGTTGAAGATGTTGTGTTTATTGGACCTAGACAGGACGAATCAATGGTTAGCTGGCTGGCGCACATTGGTCAATGTATGGGATTGATGGTCCTTTCTTAGATTTGGGGAATTAGATGATTATTGAATGCTGGCACATCTCTGGTATTTGCTTCTTTTGACTTACCCTGCTAAACTTTACAATCCTCAAGATGGTTTAATGTTATTTAAAACGAATCATATTCAATTGTGTGATTATTCTTTGTCATCAGTAAAACATGGAGAAAATAAAGAGTTGATCTTGTTGACTACAAATTATGTCAATGTCTCCCTTGTTTGAATGTTGAGACAATTAACCATCACAGTTAAAGGACCACTATAGTGCCAGGAAAACATACTCGTTTTCCTGGCACTATAGTGCCCTGAGGGTGCCCCCACCCTCAGGGACCCCCTCCCGCCCGGCTCTGGAAGGGGGAAAGGGGTAAAAACTTACCTTTTTCCAGTGCTGGGCGGTGAGCTCTCCTCCTCCGATCCTCCTTCTCTCCTCCCCGTCGGCTGAATGCGCACGCGCGGCAAGAGCTGCGCGCGCATTCAGCCGGTCGCATAGGAAAGCATTCATAATGATTTCCTATGGACGCTGGCGTGCTTTCACTGTGAAAATCACAGTGAGAAGCACGCAAGCGCCTCTAGCGGCTGTCAATGAGACAGCCGCTAGAGGGAATGGGGGAAGGCTTAACCCATTCATAAACATAGCAGTTTCTCTGAAACTGCTATGTTTATAAAAAAATGGGTTAACCCTAGCTGGACCTGGCACCCAGACCACTTCATTAAGCTGAAGTGGTCTGGGTGCCTAGAGTGGTCCTTTAAGCTAAAATTATGGCAAACTGAAATAAAACACATTGAATATATACAGAAATGTCTCACTTGGAACTGACTGAACTTATGTGTGCTATGTAAAGGGAAACAACAGTCTGGGGTAAAAAAATATTTGGTTGGCTATTGACAAATATTGAAATATTTGCAAACTAAAATATTGAAGCAATCTCAAATCACCTCAATTCTAAAACTGACAAAAAAATAATTAAAATCAAAACCATTGCTTGATGTTGATATGGTTACCATGTGGTCGGGATGAACCCCATACTCATAAGCCTCCCAAGGATGCTAAGTTACAGGAAGGCAAGACCTGGGATAGCCATGAAACAATTTCTTAATAACATAGTTTCATTGACCTTGTGATTATGCTTGAAGGTAAATGAATGCTTAAAAGTGATGACCAGATGTTTTAGACGGCATTTAAAGAAGGGGAGTTGTAGCTTGAAAACACATAAATAATGCAGCTTTAATAAAGATTCAAAGAGAGAATGAAAGTATAAATAACTGTGCTGATTGTAGCAGAATAAATAGACTAAGGGGTTATTATTTGAATGTTAATAATCAATATAAAAATATGTAAACAGGAAGCTGGATTACACCAGGAGAGGAATTAGTTGCTGAAAGTGGTTTGTGGTCTGTAGATATCAATTTATAGGTCATTAGTTAAATTTACAGATTACCACATTTCCAGGAGGGCAGATAAAAAGTACATGCTTGGAAGGATGGAATAGAATGCAATCATAACCTGCTAGTCTTCCCCACTGTTCTGCACTTTGTATTTGCTTTATTTACTCCATCTCCAAGTATCTGAATTACTGTTCACATCTTGAATTTATTATTTAGAGATCTGTAAAACAGACGTTGCAAATTAGGAAAATTATCACTTTTAATGCGGGTCTCAAAGACATGTCAACACTTTTCAAATTCGCATGTGCAGTCTCCTAAAGGTTTGATTGTAGCTGTCATCAACAGCCCCCTCTTTCCCTTCTTTAACCATATTGTTTGTCACCTGGCCACCTTTTCTTTGTTGCTGAGTGCTGAAGGATGTTATGCTCATACTGACTGATTCACTGCCATGAAAGCCAGTTGATACACTAATGCCTATCACCACATGAACAAAGACACATTTTCATATGGCAGCTTTTACAAATGCTTGGACACTTCATTCAGCCATAGTCAAACTTCCTTATAATATTGACAAACATGACTTGTCTGCAAATACGTCCTTCCTTTCTTTAGTATTTACCTTACCCCTGTACCAAAGGGGCACAACATTTCAATAAATCTGTCCCAAATCCCTATGCAAATTTAAATAACAGAAGGTTTTTTTAGTATCTCTCCAATGACCATTAAAGTGTAAGCTCACCTGCCAAGGCAAAACCTGCACTAACAATTCACCTTGTTTCTTTAGGCTAAAAGGCAAAATCTCTAAAGAGAGTGGGAAGGGTATGTTTCTAAAGCCCCCACCCCCACAACCCTTTATAGGGGATAGACATGTGCAATTGGTTTCGGTTCGAATGTGAATTTGGATGAATTTCTGGAAATTCGGACATTCAGGTACTTCCGAATGTCCAAATAGATGAATTGCTGAATTGCCGAATGGTCGAAGTCCCGAAGTTCCGAAATTACCGAATTTCCAAAGTGTTGAAGTGCCGAAGTTCGGAAGTTGCCGAAGTTCCGAAGTGTCGAAGTGCCGAAGTGCCAAAATTCTGAAGCACAGTATTGCCTAAGAACTAATATACTTACCCAGTGGAAAAATGAAGAATGTTACACTGTATACAATTTTAAATAAAAAGTATACAAACATAGCCAGGATTCAGCTGTAAGCATTTACAACACTATCAAGTAACATACATTTTCCCACGCTGTGTAATTTGACTCATAACTCTCTGATTGGTTACTTAATCCACCAATCAGAGTGTTATAAGTCAAATTACACAGCGTGGGAAAATTCCAAAGAACTTTCCCACGCTGTGTAAAATGACACAGAGCACTCTGATTGGTGGATTTCAAGCCAACCAATCAGAGTGCTGTGACAGGTAAATGTAGAGACTTACCTGTCAGTCTCTTCATTTACCTGTCAGAGCACTCTGATTGGATGGCTTAAACCCACCAATCAGAGTTCTCAAAGTCTAATTGCAGGGCGGGGCAAGGCCTTTATAAGCCTTCCCCTGCGCTGCAGAGCTCAGTCTGCGCGGAGCCCTCCATGGGTGAAGAAGGATTATTTTTATTTGTGCTCGTTTTTTTTTAATTTTTTTTAAGTGCGTCGGTTATTATGGATTTTTTATTTGGCCTTTACTGGGGCTGAAAAAATAAGATTTTAGAAGAAAGAAAACATGAAATGGTAAGTTTTATTTTTTTTTACTGGTACTTAGTTAAAGATCCCCCCTCATTATTTTTAGTGTGAGGGGGGTAGGTAGGGGTTAATTTTTTTGGGGGGGAATGACTAGGTGTTTGGGGACCCCTAGTCACCTGTGAGGGGAGAAACATTTTTATTTAGGGCCCCCATCCGCTGCTCAGGGGTGGGTTGGGGGGGAGGACAATAGGTCCCCCCCATTGGTATTTAGGGCCCCCACCCTTTCTTACCATAATCCACTTCCTTCTCCATTAATATGGTCTCTTTTTGTGGATAGTCAATATTTTTCTTTAAAACTTTACCACCCAACTTTGGGAGCTGGGAAAGGGGTACAGATGGCAGGTGGGCATAATGAGCCCAGGTAACAAACTCTTCTGGACCCAAAATCAGAAGAGTCCTGCCTAAATACATACTTTTATATTGTTGTTCTGTGCCTGTGTTTACAAGTAGGTTGCTTTAAAAAATAAAATCAAAAGATAACACAAGACATACAGCAACTGCAAATTTAATTAAACCAAGCTTTCTATTATATATTTTCCATACACCTGACAAAAACTGACATTACTTATCACAAGTAATGTCAGTTTTTGTCAGGTGTATGGAAAATATATAATAGAAAGCTTGGTTTAATTAAATTTGCAGTTGCTGTATGGATTCTGCTGTATGGATTCTGCAAGATTGTGAGAGCTTTCATAGGCGATACTTTTTTCCTCAAAGCCGTGAAAAAGTATCGCCTATGAAAGCTCTCACAATCTTGCAGAATCCTCCATAGATATCAATGTTGTCCTCTTACGCATGCGCAAGAGTACAACACTGACGTGGGCTCCTGGCAGATGAATTACCAGAATCTAAAAGAGAAACACTGAATGGACATGGTGGTGGCCATGACGAACAGTTTCAGGTAAGTCAAACTTGCCTTCTCCTGCACCCCTGGGACACCATAAGGGTTTTTTGCCAAAAGTATTAACTTAGTAATTATGTAAATAGAACTTACAGAAGAGGTAGAACTTTGGAATTTAAAAAAATGAATTTGGAAATGCATATGCTTGTATTTTCAAGTGTATTAAAATATGCTTTTAAACCTAGACCTTCTCTTTAAATAAACATTTTCTTATTTAAAATATATGCTAAAATAAAAGTGGTTATTGATTACCATTTAGGTGTTTTGTGAAGATATAACAGGCTTTGTGTTGCAGTGTATTTACAGAAGATACATTTGCACATTTTAAGAAACTTCTATACAGCTGTGCATTGTTCAATTTTGGATTAAATCATAACAAGACAGCACAATATTCGTCACTTTATTGATAGCCAGAAAAATCCTGCTGATTTAAAACGCTGCATCATAGCAGTCTCTAGTGGTTCATTTCAGGATTGCAAGGCTTTGTGAAATGTTTAAAAATCCACAAATTATTATAAAAACCATTGGACATGATATACCTATCAAGAAAACTCGGATCAATTGAATGGACTGTAAGTTAACTTACGCCATGGATTGTATTTTGTTATGTTTTAAGAACACAAAATATGTTCATAAATAAAAGTTATGACATATTACTTTCTGTCGTGGTTTTTGATTTTCAACTGATAAATATAGAAAACTCAGATTAGCGGAACACTTGTATTCCTCTGTTTATAAGATTATCATTTGTAGCAGAATCTCATGGAATTGATAACAGAGCAAATATTGCAGTCTACTGTAAGCAATGCAGATTCATTCATTTTATCCACCATTACATAAACCTCACAAGGTTATTCACTACAGTGAGAGAATTCAAAGTGAATTTCAAATTTAAGGATAAAATAGCCGAAGTGGGAAAAGAATTAGAAGTCAGTTTTGCGTCCATTTCAGCTACTCTGGCCTTACGTTTGAAATTCACTTGGAATTTTCACTTTAGTAAATAACTCTGTCATTTTATTTACACAAATATTAAGAATAAATTATCTTTTTATTTGCTGTACAATTTTCTTTAAAGGAATACTCCAGAAACGTAAAGAACTTCAGATTGCTTAAGTGCGTTACGTGTGGGGTGACAGTTTATAAAAGTACCAGTTTCTGTAGGGCAGTAAAACCACCTTGACTGTCACTCAGTCTGACAGGGAGGTTTTCTTCTGCTTACTTAGCTTCACATAGCTAACAGAATTGGGAGGCTCATTGGACTAGAGTGCACCTGCCTTCTCCACTTCTCAATGAGCTGTACTACAGTTTTGTGCTCTCGCACCTATGTTAGATATAGCACTTATGGCAGATGAACCAGGAGCCAAACAAGGTCTGCAGGAAGAAAGACACCTCCCTGGACTGACAAGGAAGGGGGGACATGACTGATGCTAGGCTAAGGAGTCTTGAAGGAGTAGCAAGGAGGGAGGGGTATGGATGGATACAAAGTGGCAAAGTGGTAGGACAGATATAAGGACAGTTAGGGGAGGGGACTTACCAGTCAGCTCTTGGAAGTGCAGGGATCCTGACTTTCCCGCCCTCCATCCCATAGGACAGGTGGGTGTACTGAAGGACTTGAGTTTGTCTCGGTTGCTTGTTGACTTTTCTTTCTTTTGTTTTTGTCACAGCACGGGAGTCCTGGCCAGCGCAGGCAGAAGTGAAGAAGTTGCCGAGGAGGCTTGGGGAGTCGCAGTCTGCTGGGAACTGAGGGCGGAGGTAGGCTGCTCATGGACTCATGGTTTGTTGGGATAGACCTGTCTGTTGGGCAATCACCCCAACAGCTGACAGTATGGTTTTGGTTGCTGGCATGTTAAGAATAAATAAAGCTGTGGCCGTTGCCCTTACCCAAATTAATATGGTCTCTCGTGTGTCATTGGGAAAGGGGCAACAAGTGGGGGTTTGGGCATTACATCTAGACAGCAGTCAGGTGGCGGCAGAAGACAACTTCAGATTGTAAACCTATATTTTACTGCATGCAAAGATCACCAGACCCAAGCCGGAAATGTCACGTTCGGGGTGCAAACACCCCCGAGTGGGATAAGTCCGATTGAAATCTGTATTTAAAAGGAAACAGATCATTATGTGAACAAGGTTAATACATAATATATATATATATATATATTTATATATATATACACACATATAGATGTAAAAAACAGATAAAATTTGTATCTTTTAATACCTTTTTTATTGGAAGCATTTCTGAGCAAGACGACACATAGAATTCAAAGCTGAGTTGTGATACAGGGGTTAAAGCGACATGAGTGTAGATAAGACACAGGTTTGTTAGAAAACAGACACCATTTTGGCAGAGAGTCATAAATATCTTTCTGAAGAGCAGAGTGAGGGGGGAGAGAGGGAGAAGAAAAACAAACAAGCAGACAGTGCAGAGGATGGTACACTTTATACATGCACATACACATAAATATATATATGTGAACGCATAAACACATGTACATATACATATACATAAACACATATACATACATGCACATGAACTCATATACACAAATATAAATGCACAGTAATATATATAAGCATACATGCTGTTTTTTACATCTACATCACTGGACTAATACGGCTACAATATACATTAATCTCCCTGAAGAAAGGCACACGCTGGGCTTCTTGAAGAAAATTACTCGTCTTTATTAATAACACACGGGTTACAGCAAATCGATGTTTCAGTCCATCATAGGACTTTCATCGGGATAACCCCATAACTCCAACAACAAGCTTTAAAAAGCCAAAAAGTGCAGGAAACTTGTAAAGGTGAAGTACCCTCTCTCTAGACAAAGGTAATACCTGTGATCTGTCACGCCGCCCACCGGGTCCGCTCCTGTCAGACGTGTTTGTGGGAATGCCGCCCATCACTCACCCCTTGTGGTGGCTCCTCTCACAGCGTTCG